TTATTTTACTTTGTTATTAATATTTTTGTTATGTTTTATTATTGTTACTATTATTATGTTTGTTATTGTTATTATTTTTGTTTTTTAAATTATTTCTCCTATTTTTTACTATTTTAATTTAATGTTTTTTATTTATTTTTATTTATTGTTTCTGGATTTGTTCTTTTTTGTTCTTATTTTTATTAACTTTTTTTATTCCTTACTTATACTATTATTTATTTACAATTAACAGGAAAAGTAAAGAAAAATAGTTATTATTTTTTCTTTACTCATTTATTTATTACTTTTCGTTGTATTTCATTTACAGAAAATGAAAATAATTTTCAGAGAAACGCGCAATTTATTTTAATCACCCTATATATTGAAGCAAGTAACATATTTTGAGTTTGTGTTATTTTAGTGCTTTTTTAAAAATTTTTTATTTTGTATTTTCTATTGCTTTTTTTAAACTTTCGTTTAATATTTTCTATTTTATTTTTATTTTTATTTTGGATTTTCTGTTATTTATTTCTATTTTCTTCTATATTTTATTTTTTTCAAATTTAAAAATTTGCTTTTACCCAATGGGAAATGCCAGTGTAGTGCCGATGTTCACCACTGGCTTAGTACTCAGACGATTGTTCGGCGTAGTCTAGCCGAGCCTCGACAATTAGTGCTGGCGCAGTACAGAATTTTTGTTTCGCCAAAGCTTGGACAAGCCACGGCGGCAAGTGCTGGCTGAGTATAGAAAAATTGTTCACAACGCTCTTTGCCAACATTGCTTTTTTGACATAAACTTGAAAAAAATTATAAAAAAAGTTTATGAATATTTATAAATATAAATTTATTGAAAAAATTAATATTTTACTTTTCAGTTGTTCATTTTTTATTCTTATTAAATTTAATAATAACAATTTAACACAATTGTCTAATTTTGTAAATAATAAATTATTTAAACAAATTAAAATTATAAACAAAATTTAAACTTTAATCTCAATAATAATTTGGTTCCTATTAAAATACTATTATACTTCTTACTATGAATAAAAAATTATTAAAAAATTACCACGTAATTTAAGAATTACGTAAAATGTTAAATGCAATAAGTAAAGTAATTTAATTTAATTATTAAAAATTTAGTTTAACTGATTTTACTTCAATTTATTATTTCTAGCGTATCCCTATTTTTTTCTCATCTTTGACTCAATAATTGTATGTCTGAATGATACTGAGATATTAATACTTTACTGTACACATGTGTCGTTAGCATAGTGGTAAGAGCGTTAGTCTGTTAGTCCGTAGGTCGTAGGTTCGATTCCCCTCGTCAGCAATTTTGTTTATTTTCATAGGTTTGCGATATTTCTAGATTCCAATCGTTAACTAAAATATGAAAATCTAATGCACACTTACTGTAATTGTTTATTATTTAATTTTTAAATGTTATAAACAATTTTTTTCTACTTCATTTACTATATCCATTGTTAGTCTCCATCTTTAATACAATTTCTTTAAGAAGAGATATATTTTATGAATAATAACTATTTATTAATATTATTTACCATTTTGTTGTTAAATTATTTATAATTATGAATTTACGACTAATTAATAACAATACGGCATTTATTGCGGCAATATTCTCAGCCAGCACTGGTCCAGTGCTGCGCCAGCGCTGTCTGGCAGCACTGACAGACAGTACTTCGGCAGCGCCAGACGGCGTTATCATCCCAGTGCCATGCCAGTGCTGGCTCTCAGCCTTGCCGCCAGTGCTGCCAGTGCTGGCGCAGTACTACGCCAGTTGTAAATTTCCCATTGGGTAATTATATTTTTTAATTTTCGTTTTTTTAAATTAAATATTTTTTTTATATCGTATTTTCTTTTTAAATTTTTGATTTGCCTTTCTTTTTCGATTTAATTCCATTTAGTAAAATTGCATATTATGCTATGGCAAATATCGCTTAAAAGTTCACCTGAAGTTTATAAATGGGGAAAAATTTTATCTCATATAGTGATAAATGTTAAATATTATCTCTTTCGTTTTAATATCTCATTTGTCGTTTTATCAATATACCATATCTAGGTATTAGCTTTTTTTTTTAAAAAAGAATCAAAGTTGATCTTTGTAGGATAGTGTGGTATGATAGAATTGAAGAAAAATATTGCCGGTTTCATATTTTTATGTACTTGTCATTATATATGAATAGCTGTTCATTTTTTACTAATTAAAACAAATTTTTCCTGTCCCCTTTAGTCGAGATTTTGTTGTGCAATTTGTCATATATTTATATGTATTTTCACCTTCTTTTTTTTGTCAATTAGTTTCACTTCCGTTTTAATTATAAAATAAATGTGACTTTTTGTCAGCTCAATAAATTTCTTTTTGGCTCAATAAAACTTCTGTTAGCTTCAAAAAAAGTTTTATTTGCTTAACAAAATTTCGGTTAATTTAGTATAATTTAACAAATTTTTGTCAGCCTAGTAAAATTTCGTTTAACAAAATTTTGTTAACTTCAGAATATTTTGGTGGCCTTAATAAAATTTGGCTAAACAATATTTTTTTTGCAGAATAAAACTCTTGTTAGCTTGAAAAAAATGGTCGTTATAGCTTAACAAAATTTATATTAACAATATTTTTGTTCATTTGATAACATTTTTGTTAACTTAACAATTATTTATAGCTTGAAAATATTTCTCTGTTTTTAATATAATTTTTGTTAGACTGCCAAAATTTATTTAAAAAAAATTTCTCTCTTAATAAAATTAAGCTTACCAATATTTTCGTTAGTCTAATAAAATTTTTGTTAGGTCAACAAAATTTTTTTCTTTATTTAACAAAATCAAGTTATTTAAAAACCTGCTTAAAAACTATTGAAAACTTTGAAATTTTAAACTGGTAAATTTTTGCCTTGAACCATTAAAAAATTATAATAATTATTTTATATATTCACTTTAAATAATTTTCAACTGACCTTCCCAAATTTGTGAAATAAATTTTCGCATTGTTTGTCAGAGTTGAAACATGGCTTACAATGATAAGTGATATCTTAATGGTAATCTCATTTGCGCAGGGACAATGCATTCTCGGATTTCTAGTCCATTGCTATTCATCGTCTTTGACTTTTCGTACGTGTGCCCTCGATATCAAGGCTTTTAAAGAGGAACAAACGGTATATTCTTGTTCCCGAAATTAGCAAAAAAGTTATACTTTTCCCTTCCTTGTCTGAGAAAAATTCATTTTTACATTTCACATAATAAATTGCAAACAAAATCATATTGAATTTATTTTAACTGTCCAGAGATTATTGCAAAGAATTATGCAATAGTATTGAACAAAAATATTAATTTTTAAATCTTTTTAAAAAAGCAACAATTTTTAATTATTTTTAATCATTTTAATTAAAAATTAAAAATTATTAAAAAAAAAATTTTAATTAATTTATCTGTCTTTTGATAAAACCGTTCTTTAATTATTTTGTAATAAAAATTAAACTACAATTAGACCTCTTTTAATGCAAAGTAATTTTTAATTAATAATTAAAAAATTATCAATTTTTAAAAATTGGTATATTTTATTTTGGTTAAAATTGTCCTTTAATCATTTTCTATTTTGAATTCAAAATTAAAACGTACTTAGGTCTTTTTTGTTACAAAATAATTTTAACTAATATTTATATATTAAAATATGTTTATATTTAACTAATATTTATATTGATACATTTTTATTAATAATGTTAATTCATAATTAATAAATTATTATTAATATTCTACAAGAGTAAAAATTGTTTAACTTAAAAATGAAACTGAAAGAAAACTAAATCGTCTTTTTTTCGAATTCTCAGCAGGGGACAACAAAAGAAAATGATAATTTGCTTCCGGAAAATTCGAATTTATTAAAATAACAAAAAACGAAAAATAATCAAAAAAGTAAGGAATTCAGATTATTCTTTCAATGTTAAAAAGAATTTTAAAGAATGCAAATATCACTAGAAAAGATGCCATTTTTTTATCCACATTATTTATTATTACAATATTAAAAAGAATTTTAAAAAATGCAAATATCACCACAAAAGATGCAATTTTTTGTTTTGACAATTTTCTAATCTCGGGGAAAATCTTTTGTGTGCATCTAAATAATTCATTGTTTAGTGAAGAGATTTCTCACTGCGGGGTTAACCAGAGAGCGACGTTTTTCCCAGCATGAACTTTCCACTATAGTGCCGTTGCTTGTCACTTTTTTTTCTTTCTTTCTTTCTTTCTATTTTTTTGTTTGTTTGTTAGGTTCGTTTGCTATTTCTAGTTTCTTTTCAAACGAGACATCATCCATATTAATCGTCTTCCCATTAGAAAGTTTTTAGGCATCATCAATTATATTCCACTATGAATCCAATGGAAAACTTAAATACTTTTACTTAATTTAAATTCAATTTCAATTGTTAACATGTTTCTTTTTCGCGCCTTTATAATTATTATAATAGCTAATTAATTTAATTTCAAATGAAACAAAAAGAAAATTTATATATTCAAATAAAATTGAATAAATTTCATTGTTTTGCTTCAAATTTTTTATTATCTTGTATTTAAATTAGTATCAAGTTCAATTTTGAATTCAGAATTTAGATGTGGATATTAAAGGCGTGGAAAAATTAATATATTTACTTGCTAAAACTATAAACAAAATAAATTTTTTACAACATATTTAGAAATAGTTTTTTTAGAACAAACATTTAGTATCCACAGAAACTTTTCTTCTTGATATCTTCAAAATTAATTCACCGAAATCTAAGAAAATAAATGATAGAATTTTTAGATGAGGATTAGGATTTGGATTTTTGGGTTAAAATTATTTGAGTCTACACAGTCTCAAATAATTTTATGTTAGTTTTTCGAAAAGAGATGTAAAAAGAAACGAAAGAGAAAACTATTCAAAGCACTAGCAATTGAAGTTTTTCTCTTTCTTCATCAACATCATCATCTTCTTCCTCTTTTTTCCGAAACTATACAATATACTCTTTTGGTAAAAACAGGTCTCTGAGGTACAGTAACATGTATCTTTGAAAAAGACATTTTCTGCTTCGCCAACGAACCAAAGAATTTTTGTGATAAGAAAGAAACATTATTTGACAATGGGAACGTCAGAGAGAAATCGCAATTCTGAAAGACTGTCGTTTATAACAAAGTGAAAAATCATAGAGGAAATGATTTTGTGTTTAAAGAATGTGTGATAGTGTATAATAAAAAAAATAACCAAGAGACGAGAAATATCAAGAGCAGGAGGAGGAGAAAGAGAAGAATAAGAACTACAAAAAGTTAAGAAGATAAAAGAAAAATATTTATACAAAAGAAGACAATGTTTGGTATAACGATGATGGAGCCACGTGAAAGAATTGTCGCGTGCACACAATCGCCTGCTCATCATCAACAGCAGCATTATCGTCAAGTGATAAGAACGACAAAAGTTCATCAAAACTCACGATGCACGCGTGTTGTTACCATTCAAGAAAAAGTTATCAGGTCACGTCTCCAAATGGGATATTCGACGCCAACTGCTTTTCTTAATCGGTAAATGTTCAGAAAATTTCATTATTTTTACTAATATTTACTTTATAGGTATTTCTGTATTTTTTTTTAACTAATTTGGTATCTTTTAAATAAATTTCACATGTTTTGCAATAAATTTGTCTTCAAATAATAATTATTTAAACAAGAAAAAACTGTTTTTGGGTCTTTACCGGACTTGGAATTATAAAAATGGTTGGATTTTTGAAAATTAGATCAAAAACTGAAGTTTCTACTTTCTATACAGATTTCTTATAACTATAATGACAACGAAACTTTTTAAAGTGCAATGGAAAACAATTTCAACCCCAAAAACTAAAAGTATAAAATAGTTTTTTGGGATTTTATATAAAACAATGTTTAAAGTTGCAATTTTTGTTTCTTGGTTAATTAAAAACAAAACTATTTTGAAGTTTTTGTTTGATTCAGCTGAAGTATCGGTTATTGCATTAGGAAATAATTCCATTCCAAAAAATAAAAATACAAAATAGTTTGAATTTCAGAAGTTACATAAAACAATGTTTGGAGTTTCCTTGTTGTTTCATGTTTTAATTTTGATTTCTTGATTCAATGAAAACAAATCTATTTTTAAGTTTTGGTTTGATTCAGCTGGACTGTTGCTTATTGCATTAGGGAATACTTTAATTCCAAAAAATTAAAATGCAAAACTGTTCGAATTTTGAAATTGAGTTAAAACAATATTTGGAGCTTCAATTTTGATTTTTTGATTCAATGAAAACAAATCTATTTCCTAGTTTTGGTTTAATTCAGCTGGAGTGTCGGTTATTGCATTAGAGAATAATTCCATTCCAAAAAATAAAAATACAAAACAGTTTGAGTTTCAGAAGTTACATAAAACAAAGTTTGGTGCTCCATGGTTGTTTCATGTTCCAATTTTTATTTCTTGATTCACTGAAAACAAAACAAAATTTTAAGATATGGTTTGATTCAGCTGTAGTATCAGTTACTTCATTAGTGAATAATTTCATTCAAAAAAATAAAAATACACAACAGTTCGAATTCGGGAAATTAGCCTAAAAACAATTTTGCTTTTTTAATTTTTAATGAAAACAAATTTTGTTAAGTTTCGACTTGATTCAGCTAGTGTCACTTATTGCATTAGTGAATAATTCCATTGCAAGAAATAAAAACACAAATTGGAGCATCATTTCATAACGGTTGCAAATCTTAGAATCATAGCTATGCAAATCTGTTAAAATATCTAACAGATGTACATATAAGATTTTTATCATATAATATTTGACGTAATCATGCATAGATGACTTTGACCCGTATTACTGAAGATACAAAGTATAAATTCGATCTGACAAGTAATCAGATCACGCATAATGTCATTTCAATCAATTTTAAATTGACATTGTTATTAAATTTATGACTCATAATGTTCTATTATCCTAATACCATTCGCAGATCTTAATGTTTGTCTCAACACAATTTTACATTGTTTTTAATCAAAATTATATTTCAAAAAGAAAACCTCACTTATATTTATTAATAAACTCAGAGAAAAATTTGTTTAAAGCAACCAAAAATTTCGTTGAATCAGTGATTTTTAGAGATGAAAATTCTCTCTAAGGTCAGATCAATATACTTTATTAATAAAAAATAATTAAACAAAACCATTGCAACAAAAGAAATATAAAGTACAATTAGAAACGGTGCAACAAAGCAAAACATAAACAGAAGTGAATCATCCACATTATAATTCTGTATTAGAAAGAGATTTTTGTTCAAGAATAGATTACTTTAATCGAGTCATCTCACGATATGCTTTTGAGATTGAAGCGCCAAGGCCATTAGTCGTCCCTGTTTTAAATGAAAGTGCAAGTTTGTCGATCGAGCATTAAAATTGGTGGGCGTTTAATATATTCAAGGGGCAGACGTTTTCTCACACACACACGCATTCAGGCACAAATTGATCATTCGATGTCCATTTCTTTATAATAAGAAAAAATACATGTGGCAATATAAAAAATATTGCATTTTAAAGGATATACCCGCGCAACTTAAACAGAAATCTCAATCTTTGAACTTTTTATTATATCCTCTGCAATATCAAACCACCCACATTACATTTTACAACATAACGGTTATGGCCGTGTGTATGTGTAATAAATTTATTGGCCATTTTAACTTTGTGTAAGTACATGAGATGTACATGACGTGAATGTGTAGTTACGTAATAGACATTTCTCTATCTCTCTCTTTTTTCTCACTCTATATATAGTCATCTACCGCGAAGTGTACTAATTCCATTAGAATTTAAAAGCATCGAACGTATATTGTATATTATATACAACTCTCACAACAGCAGCACATATCTAGAGATTGATGCACTAACGATCTATGCTCGATGTTTCCGGTTAAAATAAGAACGAATGAGCTCAAATTATTTGCTCAGTTATACTTCATGGGTTTTGGGAAGGAAGGAAGAAAGAAAAGGGGGAGGGAAAATTTTCAATAACTTATTGCGTTATTTCATGCTATCTAGTAACATGTGTTTTAATTCACTTCTGGGTCGAAAGAATTAATTAATAAATAAATATAGTACATTGTGCACCTAGTACGAAAGAAGCTTTTCCGATGAGTTTGAAGGTTACTGCTCTCGCTTCGCTCAAGCAGCGCAACCTTCAAGCTCATCGGAAAAGCTTCTCACTGCAAAAATAGGTATCTTTTTTAATATCTTAAAATAAGGTGTAAGCTGGAAAAATGGCATCTTACATTTTAAAATAAGATGTTTCCTAAAGTATCTTACTGATATTTAAGATGCTTTATACGTTTTAGTAATGATCCAGATATTTCTTCCATCTTAGAAAAGTAAGTTACTTCAGCAAGTTTTTTTAAAGTATCTTAAATTAAGATGTTTCTTGCGCAATAAGATGTTTAGCGATAAGATACTTGTGAATTGTAAGATGCGACAAAAAACGTAAGTTACTAAACATTAAGATGCATAAAGTGTTTTACATATGAGCCCATAGTTAACTTAAAAACTTTTTTCCCAAAAAATATACTGAAAATGTGTACGAAGATACTTTTAACATCTTAAATTAAGAGATTTCACTGCAAAAAGAAGTATATTATTAATTTAAGATGTTATGGTAGTCATTTCTAAAATGTTTTAGTAGCTTAGTTCAATAGGTCCCCAAAGATATTAAAAAACTTGTATCAACCATCAAAAAGTAGAAAAGAATTAAGAATGGTAGTTGGTGTTATCGGATTTTGTAGTTGTTTTTGTAATTTAACTACATTTCTTAGTTAGCTGAATTCTAAATTTTTAACTACATAAGAAACAGTAAAATTAACTAGGGTAAATGTACTATTAGTCGGACACTTAAGGGTACGATCTTATATTATGCTTTTTTTCTTGAAATAACAAATAGCTACTGTGTTTATAAGCATATATTATCAATTAAAGGAGTTCTTCAGGATTAAAAATTATATAAATTTGTTACAAATACTTGAGTATTTAATAAAATATAAGCATTTTAATGAAAAATTACGAATGCTTCAGTAGTCGGACACTTTTTTCTATAGTCGGACATCAGTCAAACATTTTTGATTTATAACGTAAAAAAGATAATTTTGTAATTATTTCCTGCTGGAAAATTTAATTAATTAATTTAATCATGAATTTTAACAGCTCTGAAACATTGTGTAACAATAGACAGTACAAAATTAACAATATTTACATAGGTCATAGTAAAATTTACTTTAGAGTTAGAGTAACTTGTCACAGAAAAGTGTAAAAATTTTATAGACAACAAACTTTGTTTGACTTTTTCAGTTTTGATGTCGATTGTTTTAAATTAAAATTATTATTATAATTATTATATATTATATATTATATATATTATTATTATATATTTTTTTTCTTTTCATTTATATATAATTATTTATTGTTATTCTTACTATTGTTGATTTTTTTCATTTCGTTTCTTCACTGACGATAAACAATTGAAGTTATTGATTGTATACTAAATTACTACAGCTTTTTATAAATAGAAAATATTATTTATTGCCTTTGAAAAGAATATATAGAAAGTATTATTTATTGCTGTTTTCAGAGAGATAATATTAAATTAATGTTTATGAATGTCATTAAAAAAATTCACGTGGAGAAATAAACAAATTACAATTGCTTTTGTTGAAGTTTTGTAATTAGTTTTTTTAACGGCTCATTAAGTTTTCAAACTGAATAAAAAAAAATTTTTTTAATTGGAGCACTGGAAAATAATATAATACAATTTCATGTGAAAAATATAATGAGAAAAAGTTTAGTAGATTGACATTACAACTTTAGAATTTAAATGGAATAAATTTTGTGTTTTTAATCTTTCACTGTATTTGCGCGAAAGTAACTTTAATAAAATACATTTAAATTTTATAAAACACATTCAATTTTTTATATCATTAAACAAGATATCTATCATGTAGTGTTTAATACCGAAGTTATTTTCTCTGCTACTTTTTATATAAGTGTTCGTATGGAAATTAATTATTTAATAAATTTTTTCGTGTGTCGCATTTGTTAATTTATATAAATTTTTTTTATAATTATTATTTGATTATTTATTTATTTCTTTTTTTATAATAATAGTAATAAAAATAAATTTTTTAGTTAAAGCAATACATTTATATCAGTTAAAATTATAAATGAATAGGTAAAATTTGTACAAATTAATAAAAAAAATATATTTAGTCCTTTTTGTTTTGAATTTAATATAATTTTCTTTCTCTAGACAAGAACGAAAAAGAATCGTTAATAAAAATAAATTATTAAATTGCTATATATACAAAAGCTTAATTTAGCCATGTACATATTTGCATATATTGTATCCACACAATTTTCTATATACGTGCTCGCATCTCAAGTTTCTCTCAAAATTTTATCCTTTAAATTTTCATGCACGTTATATTCATAAAGCAAGATTAAAATAAGTATAATCATAATTTTGATATTTAATGAAATCCCCCCTAAAATG